TTTTTTTATGTTCAACAGAAGAAAGGAACTCATAAATGTCAACTAAACAAAAATTTGGGTCAACTATTGCTTTAACATTTAGAATGGAATAGAGAGTGAAGAAACTATTTATTTGAATGGAGAAAACTGCTGAAAAAATGCCACACACAATTTTATCAATCCATAAAAACTTAATTTGCATGTTTACATTCCACATTTTGTATCACACTCCAGTATATATTATTTACCTTTAAAAATAACAGAAACAGTGACTCCAACATTTTTTTCAAATATTGCTTTTCAAGTTCAATTATTTAGCAATAAATACAAAGATTGCTTTGTATCTGCCCCCCCCCCAAAGAATATTGGGGTGCTCCACCTCATTCCTGTACAAGAGGTCCAAGTTGCTTGGTTTGTCAGTCAGGAGCAGAATGGCAGGAGTGAATGATGAAGAACTTGAAAATGTAGTAAGACGACTTCAGTGCCAGGATCCAAATTCTGGGAATGAGGTAAGCCTTGTTGGTCTCACTTTAAAGTCTGAACTTAAAGTTCATAAAGTAATTAATATAACTTTTTTTTTTTTGGTATTCAATACACCCATTTTAGATGATGCGAGCCTTGATGGTAGCAGAAGGATTGAGGGTTTCACGGCATAGGGTGCGTGAGATGTTGGTTTGTGTCAACCCAGCAGCTGCTGCAAGGAGATGGAGTAGCACAGTGGCTCGAAGAGTGTTTCACGTGCCCTTTCCCAACAGTCTGTGGCACATTGATGGCAACATGCGCCTCATAAGGTTAGTTAAATTACAGGTAGTTGAGATTCTGTCAATGCATCATAAAAATAGCGTGACAGTGCAGACCTTCATTAGCCAATTCTTGCAGGTTAATGGAAACTACAGCCAAATGTAAATGCACACCTGAATAATACCCCAACCATATATGCGGATTGAATGTTTAATTTCAGTTAAAAGTTGGTTCTCCTTTCACTGTTGTTTTGGCCATTCCAAAGCTTTTGTAACTGAATATCAATGTACACTCTTAAAAATAAAGGGGCTTCAAAAGGTTCTTCAAGTGATGCCATAGAAGAACCTTTTTGTCTAAATGGTTCCATAAAGAACCTTTAACATCTGAAGAACCTTTCTGTTTCACAAAAGGTTCTTTGTGGCGAAATAAGGTTCTTCAGATTACAAAAAGGTAAGAAAGAGATGGTTCTTTAAAGAACCATCTCTTTCTTACCTTTTTGTAATCTGAAGAACCTTATTTCGCCACAAAGAACCTTTTGTGAAACAGAAAGGTTCTTCAGATGTTAAAGGTTCTTTATGGAACCATTTAGACAAAAAGGTTCTTCTATGGCATCGTGAAGCACCTTTATTTTTAAGAGTGTATGCAGTAAGATTTGGCCTGTCTGGCAGTAATTTTTGGCCATATTGT